GCTCCAAACAGCTGTGCTGGGCTCTGGCATCAGCTCCGCACCAGTGTGTGCAGGCGCGCCTCGAAGCAGGCAGTGGGGGCAGGGCCCAAGGCAGCGCAGCCCTGGTCTATTCCCCGCTCCCACCATGGAGGTGATGAGCCTGACACAGCTGTTTGTAGCCAGCCCATGCTCTGGGCAGCTGCAGCAAGCAGCAGGCTGGCTAAACAGCTGCGCCGGGCTCCACAGCTCCGTGCCAGGAGCAGAGGAGAGACCAGGGCTGCGCTGCCTCAGGCCCTGCCCCCACCGCTGGAGCCCAGCGCAGCTGTTTGCAGCCTCCCGGCTGCAGCCGGCCCCGGCTCTGGGGAGCTGCTGCCAGCTGGGATCCCGAGCTGCTCCCAGCAGTTAGCTAGGATGCTGCAAGCCCTGCTGGGAGCATCCCAGGCTCCGTCGCTGGCAGCAGCGACCTGGAGCCAGGGCGGGCCGCGGCATGCCAACCAAACTGGCTTTGCGTGCCACGCTCGGCACGCGTGCCAGGGGTTGCTGACCCCTGTTCTAGACTTAGATGAGAGGTGTCAAATATATAACCTGTAGGCCAGATCAGACCTCTCTGACCTGCCACGCTAATGACAAGCCACCAGAATTTGGGAAGCACAGGAGGAGTGACTTGATACAGAATCTGGGGCTCTTGGCCCTTGGTGAACATAGTGACTGGTGGCAGGAGGGCAAGTGAGGGCACCCTAGGTGCCAACTTGGAGGGTGGGGGATGGTGGGAAAAAAAACAGCTGCCACAGCAGCAACACAATTGCGCCAGCAGCACAGTGGCACTGAGAAATCACTGCTGCCTCTGTGTGGCAGCTGCCCCCAGTGCCTGGCCACATCGTTACATCTCTATTTCTTAATCTATGTTTATTGTCCCCTGCTATTAAGTTAGCTGAGCGAAACACTATAGCAGCTGCAATTAATATCTGCATTAAGCAATGAGTCTTTCTAAAGTTGGAAAATATTGCAATCTTACTTGAAATACCACATTATAATTAATGACTAATATTTACTGACTGCTTACCTCAGTATTTTTTCTTAAAGGGACTTGTCCTTTTGATCTAATTTCCATTTTTCTAATAGCAATCTATATGATAGAAAAAGAGATAGCATAAAATTGTTATAGCAGCTTTTCTGAAAGGAAGGTACACAGTTAGCTAAAATTTTCTCTCAGATAACCATGTCTCTGTGTGACATCAGTGCTGGTCATGCTACACATCTTAAAGCCTTTACCATGCATGTTTGTCAGAACTTGATTGCAGATTGGCTGTTGGGAAGGATAACATCATAGATGGATAAGAATCAGTGCAGTTCTACTTTCCTTATTTTTAATTGGTTTGCACTGGACTTGAATGCAAAGAACTTGAGTATTTCTTAGAGTAGTACAAGGCTTTGTGTAATAACATTGTGAAAGATCATGTTACCTACAGAGCACTGAACAATGATTGTGAATGAGGGTGACACAGTACCCTGGGGTGCCTTGAGATCCTTTCAAGGTGCCATGTGGAGGGTCTACACATGCAATTAGTGCACGTGAATAACCTCTGGAACTTATTGCGCCAGAGTTTTTTTTGCTCCTGGGTGCACCCCATTTGAACACGCGCCCATGAGCATATAACTGGAGAATTAGCTCCAGAGTTTATTCATGTACAGTATGTGGCTCTCAGTTGGAGCAGCTCTGGCTGTCAGGGGGCACCGGGGGTCAGCTTGCCAGCCAGGGACTACTCTAGCTGGGCTCAATGTGCTGCAGAGGGCCTGTGTAGCAGGCAGCTCTGGCACTGAAGCGCCCTCACGCCCCAGCCAGCTGGTCAGCATCTACACATGCCCTGCTGCGCAGGAAAAAACGCTGCTGAGTTTATTAGTTTTGTGCACCCTAATAGGGGCACATGTGTAGACCCTGAAAAATTTACTGCACAGTTAATTAGTCAACTGTACAGTAAATGTCTCATGTAAATGCATCTATGGAGTGCCATGCATTAACACTTTTAGTTTTGCAAACATAATTCACAAGATAAACTCAGACAGAGTAAGAAAGAGAGCAAGAAGGAGGAAGGAAGAGTCTGGAGACCTGGGGGGCAGCAGCAGGTGAGCGGCAGGGGTAGTGGTGCCTGAACCTGGAGCCCCAGAAACTGAGGTTAGCTGCTAAGGGGCTGGATGTGACTTGTGGGTTGCCTTTGGACAGTCCCGGGTTAAAGGAAGCAGCCTGTACAGATGTCCCTTCTCTACCCATAACAGGATTATGAGTTGAAAGGTCAAACGTAGGGGAAATCTAATAATTCTAAGAACCCTTTTTGTGGCTGTTTTTATGAAAGACAAACACTATTTATCAAAAGATCCTTGAGACTCACGCACCTAAAGGATTTTGCCTGTATTAAAAAACTTCTGGCTTTTGCTACTTCTTGAGCAAGTTTCTTTAAATCATCTCCTTCAAAGAAAGGAAATACTGGATCCTAAAAAACAAATTAAAATATTGCAACTTTATTCTGCAGCTATTGCTTACTATTTCAGACAGAAAATAAATAATTGGATCAAAAAGCTGAACTTCCCCATGGTTATTGCAAACACATGAGATCCTGTGTTTATGCAGGGAGATAACACATTCAACGGCAAATTCTGCTTGAGATGGCTCTTTTCTTTTGCAGTAGTACATATAGGCTGCAAATCAAACCAGGGCCCGGTGGGCCAAGTACTGCGCATGCATACTATAATGATAATCTCTGCCCCAGGCACCTGACAGTAAAGGGGCATAAAACAGATGAAACAAATAGATGGTGGTGGCAGAGAGTAACTATACCTGCTAAACCTGAGGTCTACTCAGATCCAAATCCCATTTCCACATTCTATTACAACTTTATGTTCCTTCCCTGGTTTCATTCACCTCACCAGTGTAGCGAGGAGATGCAGAATAGCCAGACTAATTTTTTTCTTCTTTGGATCCCAAACATATTCCCTGAGCTCCCCTTCCAAGTGATTAAAATAACCTCCTTTTTAAAAAGAGGTATGTTAACGATGGTAGAAAAACATACATTGCAACAAGCAACACAATAGAAATAACTGTGGAACATACATCTTCATCATCAAACCCTTCTGTCAACATCCGGTGTGCTGCTAACTGCCCATCCACATCTCCAATGCAACGATGGTAGCGACCGCCTGCATGCAAGGCTAGTTTTTTCAGAAATTCATTAGCTCCCCTGTTAACAATAAAGTAGCTGGTTACCTATAATAGTCACTAGAGAAACATCAGTAGAGCTTAAATCTTAGGGCCCCATGTATTTGCAGGCATGCAGTTTGACAAGTATGATAATAAATACCTACATCATTTCTAGAATCTTCTTCAGCTATAGGGAATAAATAATTATAATTATTCATCACAGCCTCCAACAGCTGGTTTCTTTTGATTAAGGCTCAAGGTGGCAACATAACAATAGAGCTAAAGATTGGAATCGAGACTTGGAAGGAAAATTAGCATTGTTTTTATGTACTGAAAAGAATTACAGGTCTGCCACATAACTTATTTGTTGGCAGTTGTAAGTTATTTCACAAGTTTGTATCCCTTGGCAGCATCTTCAGATGTAAACTACCATATTTACTCACATACAACACACATTTCCCCCCCAGAAATCAGCCCTCTCAAGCAGGGAAACTAATTTTCTTCACCAAAACTTCACAAAATGGAGGCATAGAGGGACAAAGACACTGTGCTACAAGCCAGCTGTCAGCTTCTCTGTCCAAGCCAGGAAGCAGAGGGAAGCACAGACCAGCATAAATACAACTGCCCTCCAATTGGCACTAGTTTTTGGCAAGTGTTATCCTATAACAAGGGTATGGATGGGGGAGATGTAGTAATGTGGTGGGTGCATTCCAGAAACAAGGTACATGTCTTATTTGAGGGTATGTGAGAAAATGTGGTATACTCGCATGATCAGGGGGCAGCAGGGCAGGCCCTATGAGGAGAG